GCTTCTATTTGTAACACGTGGGTAGCCAAGAATCCATTACCTTGCCAAAGAGGGGCAAGTGCCTCCAGATTTTACAGGGAACAGCTGAGAAACCTAAACCATAGCTAATTCCCTACACATGGCAGGGGAGCCCAGCCCCTTAAATCAAACCTTTCCCAGATTTTCCTTAAACTACAAAAAGTTTAAACTTAACATAAAATTCAAAGCACCGAAGATAAACCAAAAAGTTTTTTAACTGCAAGAAAAGTACTTAAACGTCTGGGCCACCACAAAGGATTTCCATACTCTGTTGGGAGAGCCTTCACTGACCCTGTCTCTCTCTGCATCTTTAACGTCATCCCATCTATAACCAGAGGGGATGGGGGGCTCTGCTGCCAGAAACAGCCACTGCCCAAGAGTCCTTCTATATCCTCCTTATCCATCATTTGATGCCCTCTGCACTCTTGGCTGCTCTGGGTTTTACCTAGTTTCCTGTTCTCCCCTGCTCCCCGGTTTTGGTACGGTCACGTCCTCCTGCACTGCTACACTTCTGTCCACACCTTCTCCGTCCTTAGCTGTGTCCTTCCCCCTCACACCACGGAAACAGAACCAACACACAACAGGATTTCTCCTGTTTTCACTCTGATTCCCGCTGAGTCCCGCTGCCTCCGCTCACCTGGGAAACCACAACTCCACCCCTCCAGCGGCTTCGCTCTTTTACTTTTCCGCGGGGACCCGCTGCCGCCTGCCAGGTCCTTGTCTCCTCCGGGTGTTCTCGCCGTGAGAACCCCTGAAGCCCCCGGACCCCAAACACCGTGCGGAGCGCTGCCCTCCCCCCGTCCCCGGCCACCAGCCCGCCCCCGCCCCACACACCCTCGTCGGAGTCGCGGGCCCGGGCGCTCCGCTCGCCATCCTCCTCCTCGGCGCTCTCCAGCTCCTCCTCCTCGTAGTAGTCGGGCGCGGGGGCCATGGCGGGGGCGGGCGGCCCCGGCGGGGCGGCGGGCGGCGCGGACACCAGCCCGGCCGCGCTCATGGCCGCGGGCGGGACGGGACGGAGCGGCAGCCGCTCGGCAACCGCGGCGGGAACCGCGGCCGCGCTTCCGCTTCCGGGCGGCGCCGGGGCCGCCGCGCCCCCGCCCGGCCAACGCGGGCCCTGCGGGCCGGAGGCTCGCGGGTTCGAGTCCCGGGCCCGCCCATGCGTGGCACGGGTTAGACTGTGCTGGCCGTGGGGTTTGACTCCTCAGCGGCTTGTGGCACTGGGCTCGTGTTCCCGGACCAGGCTCTGCTCAGACGGACAAGAGCAATGGGCAGAAACATGCATAGGAAGTTCCACCTAGAGATGAGGAAGGGCTTCTTCACTGCGCAGTGACTGAGCAGCGGAACACAGACCAAGGAGGCTGTGGAGTCTCCCTCCCCGGGCATATTCCAGAGCCGTCTGGACACCATCCTGTGCCTCGTGCTCTGGGATGACCCTGCTGGATCCCACCACTGCGATCCCTTCCAACCAGACCTATTCTGTGATACAGACACAGAGCAGAACCTTGCCTCAGTGAGAACGGACTCACTAGGACACTTGTACTCTTTCAAATTTTATTATATTTTAATAGATAAATTACTTCCCTGTTCCTCCCGGCAGCGTTCCACCACAGAGAGCACAGTGATCTCACCCAGGTGAATCAGGTGCCAGTGAACAGCAGCTTTTGTACAACACGTGCCTCACATCTGCCAGGTACTGGTTATTCTCCAGACTAGGCACTGCTACAAAATTAAGAACCAAGACACATATCCTGTGGTGAGAGTCATATGCAGGATCCCATTCCCATCTGAAAATGCCTCACAGTGGTATTTCAGACAAAATATATCTTATTTCTGCAGCTCTTATTCTCCTGGGAACGACTAATTAATCTCATCACATCCAGCACAGCCACACTAATCGCTCACGTTCAGCTGGGAGGAGCATTCCTCACATGCACAGCTTACTGACTCACTGAGGCACTACAAACACCTCACCGAGGGGAAGGAAATGGGTTTGATCTGAAGCACGGAGCTCCAAAACCTGCAGCGCTCCTCCAAACCCGCCGAGCCGGGTGCTCAGTGCCCACAGCGGCACCAGGACACACCGGGTTCTCAGAGGGGCAGCAATAATGCAGCGCAGCCACTCGGCTTTCCTGCCGATCACCCCAAAGGTCTGTTTGCCCAGACTGACAATTTTTAACTCGGAACACCCATGCCAAGTATGCTCCATGCCCGTTTCCTTAAGTCAATATTGCCTCTAACAGGAGACGAGGCTGAGGCACGGCCGTAAGTCGGCACCGCCCCCCAAGCAGCTCCCAGAAGTTCTGGGAGCGTTTATGTCTCGGGGCAGAGACACCACCAGGGCTGCTCACCACCTCTCCTTTCCCAAGGAATGCTGTGGGTTATCAGCACGGTGGAAACCCCTCCTTTTCCCTTCTCCCCACTCCGGCAGTGTGGCTGGCACGGCTGCCCGCGGCCCCGGGGTGAACAGGAAAGGGCGTGGTGGCGGCTGCCACATCGCATGAGCTGCCTGCTGCCCACGGGTTTGTCCTCTCCCCACACTCACACCTGGCTTGAGCCTCTCGGATCACTCCCCAAAGCCATCCAGCCACCGAGCTAAAAATAGAAACGGAACTGCAGGGCTCAAGAACTAACCAGAGCCCCCTCGGAGCTTTACAAACACGAGTATTTCCCCTTTCTCCCCCGTTTCCTGTCTGTATCTGTTCCATCTGTCCACATACTCGGCTCACCAGCTCCCCTGCCAGCCGGGTTTGTGCTGCTGGGGACACCAAACCAGTTCCAAGTGTGCCTGAACCACAGCTGCCCTCCCAAGGATCATCTGCCCAGCCTCACTGCTGCCTCAGCACTTTCTGTTTGGAGCTGGTCTGTCCTCCAGCACAGCCCTTCACACATCGGGCAGGTGCAGGCACCAACACGAGGGCACAGGAACCCCCTGAACAGGAGCCAGTGGGTAAAAAACACTGCAAACTGCTGCAAAGCGTTTTTAGCTCATTCTGCGGTCAAAACTGGGATCTCAAAGCTGTTGCTCCCTCCGTGCTAATTCCTCCTGTTTAATAGGAGCCTGCTGGAGACACCCTCTGCTGTCATCTCTCAGGCATTCAGTGGGAACCCGAGGGAGGAGGCTCAGCTTTAAGGAATGCCATGTTTCCCTTACAAACGCAGAAACTTAACTGTCTCCGCCCCAAGGAGCTGTCAGGGAAAGTGTAAAGTTCCCTGTCGAGCTGTTGTTCTTGGCTCCTGCTTCCATCGGAGCTGTTCTCGTCACAACTCACTCAGTGCTTTGTACACCCTCACTTTGGGGAGAGATCTCTGCCTCCTGCTTGCTCAGCATCAGCTTTTCACAGAGCTGCTGACAGATGAGCCGTGCTCACTCTGCTCTTCTTTCCATTCGTAAGAAAGAGGGGGAAGAAAAAGGGTTATGGAGCTCAGCTTATAAACAGGAAACTCATTGTGTGAAATTACTCAACTACATTGAGAAGAGCTGTATTGTACCTTGGCCTCTGAGGCACAGGACACACCAACACCCCTAACCAGGGACTCAGGGCTCTCAGGTTTCTGTACCTGTGGTTTCACACAGCTCTCTGAGGATGGTTCTAGAAGCCCAAGAAGGGGAACAGCTGTCAGGAGCAAGTTGGCAGAATGAGGCTGCACGAGCTACTGGCAGAAAAAGCTCTGTTCCTTCAGTTTTATTTAGAAAAATGAAGTAATTAACCCCCCCTGTCAAATAAGTCTCTACAATTAAGAAGTGTTTAGGTTCAGAGGCTGTCAGGAGCCACCAGTTGTGGCAGAAACAGCATGAACTCACCTTACCCAGCTTCTGCTCTGAGCAATTCCTAACCCAGAGCCCTCAACTCTTGCTACAGCTCCTTTTCCTTTGAGGCTTTGCTGTCAAATCACAGCGGCTCCTTTTGGGTACCAGGGGCCTCTTCCTGCTGGGACATGCCACAGGACACACAAACCCTGTCAGGGCTCCCCCAAAACCTACAGCATGGCATTGAAGACTCAGAGCTGCCTTTTTAGTGGGCCCATGCACTGTCCCCTCACACAGGAGCTGCTTGTGGGCACCAACACCCCCCATACCTGAGACCGCTACAGACCCTGACAATGCACACAAACACACACAGAATTAATTACGGCCCTGACACCCCTCCACACACACACCTGAGCCTGATGTGGCCCCCAACATCCGTTCCCCACACCTGAGACCACTGCAGACTGCCACATCCCGCTGTCCTCCCCAGCACACACCTGATTACTTTAGTGCTCAGCCCCGCACCCCCCTGAAACCACTATGGTGGTTTCTCCATAAACCCCTCACACACACACACCTGAACCTGCTGTGGGCCAAACACCCCCGCACACACCTGAGAGCACTGTGGGCTAAACACCCCTCACACACACCTGAGCCCCGGCACAAATAGCCACCACCGAGGCCAGCCCCACGCTCACACCGTACTCCGGCCATGCCCTCACCGTGCTCCTGCTATTCCGCTCCCTCACACCCATTCCCCTCCCTCACACCCGCTCCCGCCGTTTCCCGTCCCTCGCTCCCGCCGTTCCCCTCCCTCACACCCGCTCCCGCCGTTTCCCG